TTCAGAGTTTCTAACCAAAAAGCCTCTGGAGATCTAAAATCTCTGCCTTGATTCTCCTGGGTTAAGTGTTTTAATGCCAAGCTCTACTCCACCCATGTCGGCATGTGAAGATTAGTCCGTAATTATTGTCTGTTTTCAGACCTCATGTTTCTTAGTTAGAACAAATGTTGAAAATGCTACCAGAATAAATGACTTACAGGTATCTTACATGTATCTGGAACACAGCTATAGAGATTCTTTCAGAAGCTGTTATATTCCAGTGTTTCAAATAGGACATTCCTTTGTGAATGAGGGAATTGTATTAGCTATAATTAAAAAATTCAACGTTTGTCTATTTTGGAAATTCATTTTTTTCATATATTTTACTTCAAAAACTTTCCCCAAGCATTGAAATGTGACTAGAGTCATTCTTTATAGCTGATAAAAACCACCTGGTGGCTGCTTCCTGTGTGTACTTCTTTGTTCTGCAGCGCGTGTTATATTAGCTCTAATCCTGGATCATGGTTGGGGTAGACGGGACACAGTGGAAAGAAACTGTCGTAACAATTAAAGATAGTATGAAAAATGCTTACGTTGAAAAAGCCAACAAACCTAAATGTGGGAACTTGTAATTTCAATATTTTGACTGTGGCCCCGCTGTCAGTAGTAACTCTGAAGACTACTCATATTTCATCTGCGTCGCCCATGTGGATTTGGTTTTAAAGCTGTTCCTGCTTTTCCTTTCCTTGCCAGCTTTCCTCCTTCCATCCTATCCTTACCATCAAGGTCTAGTCCCAAGTATTCCATGCAGCTTTCTGCCCTTCTTCTAAATCCCAGAACTGGCGTGAAAGTCCTACTCGGCATGCTGTCGTGTGCTGCGTGGTGACGCTCTCCAACTGCTTTGTGGGCGATTGTTTTGCTTCCCCAGATACTTTTAAGTTTAGAAAGTCTCAAATTAAATGAAACACTTCTTCACTTCATTCTTCCCCAGGTCATTAAGTTATTTTGTTTAGTGGGTTTCAACACATAATTTCAATATTTCAGCTCAAAACCTTCCTTGCCATTAAACAGATTAATAATGATAATCTGGCATAGTTCTGTGAACACAGAGGTGAAATTACGCAAACACAAGCTCATTGGGGCTAGAATCTACTTGGCCGCTACGAAGTTACACATAGTGTGGACGAAATAATTCTTAGCAGAGCACCTTACATCTGTGTGTATTATATTTTCTCCCTCAAATGGAAAAATGTTTTTACTTCAAACTACTGATTTGTAAGTTTTAAGTCACAACCAATCAGTTAAGGACTATTAGTATAATTTTGGTTAAATCATATATATGAACATTAACAGTCTTGGTACACTAATGGATTTTATTCAACCATACCAAATCCTAAAAGTACCATTAAATAAGCTGCATATAGACACAATGAATGCCCCCAAATTAGCACTAAGTGGTAAGACTCGGCATGGGGCCCTGATTTCAGGGATCCCTAAACTTGATTTAATATTGCTTTTTTTTTTTTTTCCCTACAGACAAATTCAGAAACAGCCTCCTTTAAGCTTTGCTAGTCTTGAGGCAAGGACAGGTTGCAGGGGTCCTTCTTAGAAGGCCTAGTAATGAAGGCCAGGAGATAAGCAAGATAAACACCATGAGGGCAGGTAAAGAGGACCCATGGTTACCTTTCAGTCAGAGGCAAACTCCAGAAACAATTAGCATGAGTCCTCAGACAATTACAAATAGAAGCTGGCTGGGAATCCCATGATCTGCCTGGTCCTGTGATCACAGAATAAAAATGCAGCTCAAGCCAAGGGTATTTTTCTCTTACCCACCTACTGTACCCAGTTAGGTCAGATGCCAAAATGGCACCTTTACCAAGACAGTGACAAAATGTTCTTTTTTGTTATATTCCAGATTCAGCAACTGTTACTCATTATAAATAATTATAGTATTAAAAGTAGTTATTCCAACTAAAATGAAAAGTCAAAATAAGACACACCCCAATTACCACCATGCAGGGTCTCACCATCTCCTGCCCAAGTTTCCTGATCTGGCAGATGGGCCCTCTGCAACCTGGCTTCCACTTTTCTTTCTTCCTCTGTCTCTAGTCACTTTTCATCATTCATACTGGTGAAAGCAGTGCTTTGTTTATTGCACGCAACCATGTCATTTCAGGCTTCTGTGCACTACATGTGCCATTCTTACCGATGCTCCTTCCGCTACCATGATTACCTGGCTAGCTCTTTTCTACGCATCCTCCAAGCTTCAGCCTGGGTGTCATCTTCTCCAAGAAGTTTGTCCTAATTTCCCCAGACTTTGCTAGGTGCAGCTCCCTCTGGAATTCCATAGCACCTTGTGCATACTTCGACCAGAGCTCTCACTGTGTGTGGAATAATCCATTATTAACTGCCTCCTGTGCTACACTCAAGTTCTCCAAGGGCAGGCACCAAGTTTTGTTCATGTTTGTAGCCACAACACCAAGCACACCACTGGGAACATAGCTGGCACTTAATAAATGCTAGTTGGATGGAAATGCAAAATGTTCACAAACAAATTGGTTTAAAATGTCATTGGCATAACTGTGTTCTACATTCTGGCCAAGAGTAAACAGGTACACTGTGAGAAGCTCAGAGCATGGAGTGATTCCAAAAAGGAAGACAGTGAAGATTTAGAAACTGGATGCCTTTCAATGACTGTATTACTACACAGCCCACTTTTTATTAAGTGGAATAGAAAGCAGGAAATTGAAAGGAAAAACTATCCAAGTTCTGTAAGTCCAATCCACCTATTAAAAAAAATCTTGATTAAATGATCCTTTCTCTTCTACTCTTTTCTAAAAATATAGTAAAAATAGTCTTTCTCCCTATCAGTCTTACTAAGGAAATAGACCCAAGATCATCAAATAGGCTTTTACTGAAATACGTGCTTATTTTGGCTAACTTAAATCCTTTACGCAAATTAACACTTGCAAAATTTTCCATGTTACAGCTCAAAATAGAGAACCTTTAAGAAAAATTAACTTGTGGGAAGAGTGTTATTGTTTTCAGTTTAGCACTAAGGCTCATACAAAGCAAACCACCTACAATGAGCTAGATGCGTCCTTTTCCCTTGAAAAGATTATAGTAGAGTCTCTTTGCTGCCAGAGCGAAAACAGGCTCTTTTAGGTGTCACACCCAATACCCACCCAATTTAATTCAGTTCATTCAATACGTATTGATGATGATGAAAGGTATAAGAAGTGAAACTCAAAAAAAAAAAAAAAAAATTTAAACCTCTTCTCAGACCTTCCCTACATTTCCAGAAACTATTATTTCTACATTTCTGGAACTACCTTTCTAGAAATGTCTGGCCCTTATTTTTCTTTCAGTAATAAAATAAATTGATAATATGTTGGGTATTTTAGATTTTAAGAAGGAATCACAAAACTATATAGCAATATGAACAAACCTGGTATTAATGTATAATAAGTGATACTAAGAAAACCTGTTATGAATAATGCTAAAGATACATAACTCTATTGTCAAAATCTTTTTCTCATTTTATCAATGTTGTTGTTGTTAGGTGCCATCAAGTTGGTTACGACTCATTGTGACCCTGTGTACAATAGAATGAAACACTGCACAGTCCTGAGCCATCCTCACAATTGTTGCTATGTTTGAACCCATTGTTGCAGTCACTGTGTCAATTCATCTCATTGAGGGTCTTCTTTTTTTCACTGACCCTCTACTTTACCAAGCATGATGTCTTTCTCCAGGGACTGGTCCCTCCTGACAACATGTCCAAAGTACACGACTCAGAGTCTTGCCATCCTTGCTTCTAAGGAACATTCTATCTATAAAAGGTCCAAAGCAAAGGATTGCCGTGCCTGAGACTGATGTGTAGTATTTACGTATTAACTATTAAATACTTTCACCTACACATGTTACTTGGCTTTTCTTTTCTTTGCCCTCCTCTTTGCAGCATGCAGTCAAATTCTTCTGTGCTTCCAATCTACTTTACATCATGCACACTCCGGTTGTCTCTGGTCCAAGGACTTTTAGAGAAGAACTCTCAAGAAGGAATTTTCCTTCTCTAAATTTCAGTATTTAATATCAACATTTAGTAACATTTAGTTATGGACTGAGTTGTGTCTCCCCAATAGATATGTTGAAATCCTAAGCTCTATACCTATGAATGTGACCATGTTTGGCAATAGGGTCTTTGATGATGTTATCAGTTAACATGAGGTTATATGGGAGAACCATGTGTCCTAATCCCATCTGATTGGTGTCCTTATAAAAGAGGAGAAGAAACACAGAGAGACAGACAGAGGAGAGACTGCCATGTGAAGATACATCTACAAGCAAAAGGAATGCCCGGGGTTACCAGAATCTGAGAGAGACAAGAAAAGATCTTACTCTAGAGCCTTCAGAGAAAACATGGCCCTGCTAAGACTCTGAATTCAGACTACTAGCCTCCAGAACTGTGAGACAATGAAATTCTTACATTTAAAGCTACCTACTTTGTGGTACTTTGTTACGGCAGTCATAGGAGACTAAAACAAATGGCCTTCTATATTCTTACATCCCAGCTATGTTGTTAACTGGAGTCCCTGGGTGGTGCAAAGAGTTAACGCGCTCAGCTGCTAACCAGAAGGTTGGAGGTTCCGGTCTGCCTAGAGGTGCCTCAAAAGAAAGACCTGGTGATCTACTTCTGCAAAATCAGCCATTGAGAACCCTATGGTGTACAGTTCTACTCTGACACACATGGAGCATCCATGAGTTAGAATCAACTCAATGTCAACTGGTTTGGTTTATACTGTTAACTTACTATTTTGACAACTCTTCTGTTCACACCAATACTTTGCTGGGCACCAAAAGATGACTTCAGAAGCATCTAGTGTGTGTACAGAAAACCAAAGAATGAAACACAAACTACACCCTCCCTAAAGACAGAGAGGAGGATGATCTAATTTCATTCCTCCATTGTGGCTATGACTTTTGCATTCTCAGCATTCACCTGTAATAGCCTGGTGGCTTACCTTGTGTCTGGTTTTAGATTTTCTACTGTGGAGAAGGTTTGATTTGTAATTTGAATGGACTTGTTCTTCCCACTGAATGTCCCATTTTCTCTGGATATAACTTCATATTCTGAAAAATGAAAAACACAACAGATACTTGTTTTATGTCCCAGTTGATTTAATCATTCCTGAAGCTAATAGCATAATACAGTCACTCTCACAAAGGTAAGCAATTTAGATTGAAGTTCTAGAGACACACTGATCTTACACATTGGCAAGATCCACATGGGGATGGTCAGCAGTTGAGGAAGGTCCCAAAACCCTTTCAGCAGCTGCTCATTGAGCATTTCTGCTTTTCCTTTACTGGAGAAGTGAAGACCTGGAACCAGAATACACTCCTACGGTTGCTTTGGATACTAAACAAAAGAAAAAAAAACAAACAAAACCAAACCCACTGCCACTGAGTCGGTTCTGACTTACAGCAACCCTATAGGACAGAGTAGAACTGCCCTACAAGGTTTCCAAGGAACAGCTGGTGGATTTGAACTGCCAACCTTTTGGTTAGCAGCTGAGCTCTTAACTACTGTGCTACCAAGGCTTGTTAGGTAAGTCAGATAATTATTGTTGGAAAGCCCAGTGTGGGAAAAACACCTTATGCAGACCAGTGTGAGCAGAAACCATGCTTTCTACTCTGCAGGGCTTTATAATATAGTTGGGGAAAAGGCCAAAAACACTTAATATATGGTACTGCTGCTAAAAATCCCTTTCAGTTAAAATCACAGCAGCAAGTAACAGTTAACCAAATAATGAGCTATACTTTTCTACAGTTCACTGCTTTGAACTATAGCATTATGGCATTTGTGTACCCATACCTTACCTGGTGGCGCAGTGGTTAAGAGCTTAGTTGCTAACCAAAAGGTTGGCAGTTCAAATCCACTGGCTGCTCCTTGGAAACCCTGAGGGGCAGTTCTACTCTGTCCTATAGGGTAGCTATGAGTCGGAATCAACTCCACAGCAATGTGTTTGGCTTTTTTTTTTTTAACCTTACATAAGGAATGCTCCCTTGATAATTTTCTTTGTACTTAAAAAAAAATTTCATGGAGGTCTACATTACTTTCACTTAAAGGCATGTTTCCATAAGCTTGAAGGGCTAATCAAAAGAGAAAGACTTCTAGAATAAGAGAAGACAATTTACAAAGTTGTTAATTACCTTTCCCTGCTCTCAGTTGGGACTTAGCTTAAGGCATATGACAAGTTTATGTAGAGAACTAAATAAAAAGAAACCCCACTCGAAATCAACTCCATCAATAATATGAAGAAATAATAAGTGCTGGGCATCAAGTGAAGGTTGGAAGACTGCAGAGGAGTTGGCAAGTTATTGGGGATTTCTGCTGCTAGCTCCAAGACCAAAAGTATGAGGTGGATATTGGAAGTAAAATTAAAACCACAGAGTAATTTATAGACCTAAAATCACTAATTTTAATTTTAGGAGAACTTTTTACAGTGTATTTTAAAAATTCAAAAGACAGGATGACTCCTTCTGAACAATTTTGCATGACTATCCTTCCATAAACTCAACATGAAGCTGGAAGGCAGTGGCCATTGTACCTGGATACCATCGTGCAGCTATTAAAGGACTAATGACTGGTGATCAGTATCGGATATTAAGACTCTCTATTTGTAGTTCAGAGCCCTGGTGGTGCAGTGATCAAGGGCTCGGCTGCTAACCAAAAGGTTGGCAGTTCGAATCCACCAGCCACTCCTTGGAAACCCTATGGGGCAGTTCTATTCTGTCCTATAGGGTTGCTATGAGTCAGAATCGATGCGATGGCAATGGGTTTGGTTTTTGGTTTTTGGTTATTTGTAGTTCACTTCCATTTTGATCCCAGCCAGTCTCTCACTTGGATCTTCATTCTAGCAGAGGGCTGAAAGGGAGGAAGAGGAGGATCCTAAATCCATATCTGCCCACTTTAGATCTTTTCCTGAGCTGTGAGGGATATTTGCTAGAAAAAGATGGAAATAATTAAAATGAAGTAAAATTTAATTTTTTAAAATGGAAACTTCATAGTTTACTGGAAAAAGACAAACCAAGCCACTTACCATTAACTCAGTCTCAGTTTCCCCATCTGTAAAATGTCAATAGTAATATCTGGTTCATAGTTTTACTTGTGAAGATTAAATTAGGAACATATGGAAAGTGCTTAATAGTATTTTGCATATGTTTTGCTCAACATGTGGTAGTTATTATTATTGCTTTTATTATCGTCGGGCTGTTTTGAAAATAGACTCAAAAATTTTTTCCTGATATGGTACATTGATTAAAAAGGTCATAAACGAATCCTCTCCTAAAACTAAGATCATTATTTTTGTTCAAAGTTTCCTAATATTTAATTAATTTATACTCCATGGCCTGGGAGACTAAGTTAATTTACTCTGCAATTGGTTTATCTAGAAAGAAGACCAGTTATATTTTATGGTTAAATATTATATGGATGTATTCCTGGGTATTTGTCTTCTGGCCAAGTGGGCATTTGGTTTGGGCTGAGATTACTCTGGTCATGGTCTAAGGGGTATGGGGCTTTCTCTCTAACTGGACACTAGCCCTTTCCAGGATCCTCAGCATTCACAGCAGGGCATCAGTCCTCCTGTGGCTCAGCTGCCTGTGAGGGCTTACCCTGGCTCCTATTATGTATTATGGGATTTCTGCCATCTAGACCTGTATCAGGATACATACATATATATATATATAAGGGTAATCCCTTAATCTGTGTCAAAAACTCGTTTGCGAGGACCGATATGGAAGGTCATTTAAAGACTAAATACTGCATCCTTTCTCTTGAGCTGCACTGCCCAATATGGTAGCCACCAGCCGCATGTGATGATTGAGCACTGGAGATATGGCTAGGGTGACTGAGGAACTACATGTTTAAAAATTTTTATTTAATTGCAATTAATTTTAAGTCTAATATCCATGTGCAACTAGTGGCTGCTGTACTGGACGGCCCAGCTCGAGATGCTCTAAAATCTCTTAGGGTTAATCCAGATGGTCAGAGAGTGGTCGGCCTTGGCAGCATTGTTTGAGTCTTGGGAAATTATTTTCCTAAAGACCCTTTGGAATTATGGCATGGTTCACACTCAAACATGTTATAAAACCAGCCCTACAAAGTGAGTGGCTATGTAGGTTGTAAGGATACTCTTCAGAAAGTTAATTATTACATATCAGGAAGTCCTGGGTTTCGCCAGAGAAATGGGTTTGTTGTTATCTTTTAGACACTGAGAATCATACTGAGGATGTTTCCTCATCCCCTTTTTGGGTGGCTGAAAGAAAGCACCAGCCCAAATTGGAGACTCACTGATGGAAAATGTATAGGACAACATGGCATGGGATCTATGTACTAATTTCTCTTCTGGTCTTTGTTATTCTCATTTTAATCTTTTCTTTATCCTATTTTCCTCTATATTTATTATTTAACTCTTGAGAATTTATATAATTTGTTTTATATCATTTCTTAATCAAGGCAGAGTATAAGGATAAACAGACTTAGGGGTTGTGCAGGGATGTCTGGTTCTGGCCCTCATAGCTGTGTGTCCTTGTTAAATTGCTCTACTGCATTCCCATCTCTAGAGGAAAGAGGCTGGCCAAGAAGATTCTATGATGCAGGGATTTGTTAGATTCCAATAGTTTCATTGAGAGAATATAGTCTTACTGTATGAAAATGAATGCTTTAAAATATTGGAAAGATTCAGATGCTGCTTAGTCACCAGAAGAGCAATTTATATGACACTCCAGTTGGTTATGTACCTGAGCAACCGCTTTCAGAAAACATCTTTGGTTTGGGATATTCCTTATCAACCGTGTGACATTCTTTGTAGTATTACAGCAGCCTTTTAGTACTTGAAACTTTGATTGCATATCTTCTCTAATTTTCATTTGATTCAAGTTTCAAAAGTTGATTTAATAATATTTTCCCTTCAAAAGATCAGAGTTTCCAAACTGGATCTATAGAAACTACCTTCATAATTTAAAATATAACTTAAAAAATGTTATCTCTCATCTCAGAATTCTAGTTTTTGAATATGTATTCTTCTGGTTTTTTATAAACCTTATCTTTCATTTTTAATGTTTTAAAATTATAATAGTATTTTCATAAGTCCAGAAACATGACAAAAATGTAATATTAATGTTTGTAATAAGTATTTTCAGATACATCTTGAATATATTTCATAAGGTTAAGATAGCCTTTTAAGCATGTGTCCATATTTCTTATTTAAAAATATAGCATTTTGTTTATAATTTCATTAACAGTAAAGACATAAGGAGAGCCCAAAAGAACTAACGCTGCATGTTTGGCATTTTTCCCCAGAGGATTTTGTTGCCTTCCTGTGAGATAATTCACTTAACAGGAAAATTTATACATTATTAAGATTGGAACATCACAGTCTGGGCAATACAGCTCTAAAATAATAATGGTAATACTATTTGTTATGGATTGAATTGTGTCCCCCAAAAATGTGTATCAATACAGCTAGGCCATGATTCCCAATACTGTGTGATTGCCCACCATTTTGTCATCTGATATGATTTTCCTATGTGTTGTGGATCCTACCTCTATGATGTTAATGATGTGAGATTAGCAGCAGTTATGTTAATGAAGCAAGAGTCAATCTACAAGATTAGATTAGATTATAAACAAATCTCTTTCGAGATATAAAAGAGAGAAGCAAGCAGAGAGACAGGGGACCTCATACCACCAAGGGAGCAACACCGGGAGCAGAGTGCATCCTTTGGACCCGAGGTTCCTGCACTGAGAAACTCCTAGACCAGGGAAAGACTGAAGACACGAAACTTCCCCCAGAGCCGACAGAAAGAGAAGGCCTTTCCCTGGAGCTGACGCCCTGAATTTGGACTTCTAGCCTCCTAGACTGTGAGAGAATAAATTTCTCTTCGTTAGAGCCATCCACTTGTGGTATTTCTGTCATAGCAGCACTAGATAACCAAGACACTATTTATACCACTCCTACTATTGCTATGAATGACAAAAAATAATTTAGCAGTTTCTAATTTTTGCTGCACATTCAAATTTCCTATTTAATTTTTATCATCACAATAAATTGATAGCAATGGGGCATTATTATCCCATTTTACAGATGAGGAAACTAAGGCTCAAAGAGGCTAATATACCCAAACTCGCACATCTAGAACACAGCTGGTCTGTAATCTATGTTGTCATGCTCTTGGCATATCACACAGCAACAACTTACAACTCACTTAACTTTAAGTAGTCCAAGGACCCAGGCTATGGCCAGTTTCTCAGGTGTACCTACTTCTACTTTAGTGTAGCAGCAATGTGCAGAAGCAATGAATTGGAATGTATTCACTAGATGTGAGTGGGTGTCTGTCAACTAAAAGAAGGATTAAACAGAAGTCAACTCGGGAGAAAAGTTTTGAGTGGACTCTGAATTCCACTCCCTTGTCCACCTTCTATCCTGTGTATTACACTCGTCTATTCTTCCTGACAGCCTCTTAACTAGCCCCTCTATCCCCCATCTACCCACATCAGGTCTATGGCAGGGACCCGGGCACCAGGGACCTCATGTACTTACGCTATTTCTATGCTGTCTAGCTAACTGAGGTTGTCTTTTCCCCCTCATTGGGTGGCACAAATGGTTTGTGCTCAACTACTAACCAAAAGGTTGGCAGTTCAAATCCATCCAATGACACCACAGAAAATAGGTCTGGTGATCTGCTTCCATAAAGATTATGGCCAAGAAAACCCTATGGAGCAGTTCTACTACTCTGTAACACATGGAGTTGCCATAAGTAAGAATCAACTTGACGACAATGAGTTTGGTTTTAACATATTTTAATTTTCTTGTTTGACTATTCTGTTCACTATGGAGAGAAAAAACAAATTCCCTGTAACAAATTCAGCACATTTAAGGAATGACTCAAAGTTTCTTATTTTTTACAATTACTTTCAGAAGAATGGGTGGGTGATGACAGAATAAAAATTTCCTAAGATAACTGGCATATTGAGCAAGAATAGAAATTTTAAAAAATTCTCTTAAGACTGTTGTAATAACTTTTACCTGATTCAAAGTCCTAGATCAATCTAGAATTTGGGTTGGTGGAGGAAAACTAATTTATTATTATTTCTTTTTATGTAATGTTATTTATTTTGTTGTTGTTAAGAATATACCACAGCAAAACATACACCAATTCAACAGTTTCTACATGTGACACTGATTACATTCTATGAGTTATGTAACCATTCTCACCCTCTGGGAAACTAATTTAAATATCATCAGCAGTGGCAAAACTGCTAATGTAATTTCTGTAATTCTCTTAGTAATGAAAAGACCAGATATACCTTCATGTTGTGAAAAAGAGCTCTGAGAGGAAATGGGAGGAATGCAGCTTTAAGAGAGCTGCTAAATTAACAGAGAGCCCATATCAAGGACAAAGATATTTTTTTCCCCATCATATGACACTTTTGGTAACGATGTACCACAAGGACAGCAGAAGTCTGCTAGGACTTGCTCCTCCTCAGATACGCCACGCAGGACAGAGTTTGATCCCAGGTACCACACTTTTGACTCATCACATTATCAAAGTTTCCCACCGTAGTAACAGTCCTTGTGCCATGATCTTACCAGTGACAGTGTCGTTTAGTGGCTTGTCCCAGTCTAAGATGACAAATGAGGGGCACCCTTCCACGGTGACCACAGTGAGATTGGTGGGTGGGTTCTGCGGCGGGCTGGTGGCGTTCCCCTCCATAGCCTCCTCTTTGGGGAACCGCTTGACAGAGTCGGTGATGGAACAAGGTCGGTTGTCAGGCTTTTGGATGTATCGCACATGGGGACCTAAGAGAGAGAGTTCTGAGGTTTAGCATTTTTGGAGCTTGTGAAAAATGAGATGATCTCATAAACATAATTATATATTTGAGAGAATCTGGCCTCATTTTATAGGCAGATGGAGGAAAGCATGGATTTTTGTGAAAATCCAAAGTCCTGTCTCTGGGATACATGATATGGATGTTGTTGTTGATTGACTTTTCTAAATAGGTTTAGCTTATGCCAATATCCGAAAGTAATTGGTTCCCCTGAGCATGGCTTGAATGAAGGGAAGGGCCCAGAAGTGCTGGAGACAGAGAGGAGCTGGCTGACCACACATTATCCAGGGACCAGAAAGGTCACGTGCAGAAAATGAATCATCACTGCATGGTTTTTACTGAGTAAGAAGTAGACATTTGGTTCTGTCACATGAAGGCAGTGTGTATAATAATCTATGACTGTTTTACGATCTCACATTATGTTGCTTTTGCTGTTTATCTGATCTTGCCTCAGAGAGGTCACACACGGAGAGAAAATATTTGCAAAAGCATATATCTGAAAAAGGACTTGTACCCAGAAAAATATAAAGACTCTCAAACTCAGTAAGAAAGCAAACAATCCAATAAAATGAGATAAGCAAAAAATTTGAACAAACACTTCACCAAAAAAGACAAGTGGATGGCAAATAAGCACATGAAAAGATGTTCAACATTAGAGAGATGCAAATTAAAACCACAATGAGGTACTACTCCCAAAACCGAAAACCAAACCCACTGCCGATTAGTCAATTTGGACTCATAGCAACTGTATAGGACAGGGTAGAACTGCCCCGTAGGGCTTCCAGGGCTGTAATCTTTATGGAAGCAGACTGCCACTTCTTTCTCCCACGGAGCGGCTGAGGGGTTTGAACTGCTAACCTTTCAGTTAGCAGCCGAGCTCTTAACCACTGTGCTGCTAGGGCTCCTTAGATACTGCTCCACACCAACTAAAACGGCCAAAATTAAAAAGACTAACCGTATCAATTGTTGGCAAGGATGTGGAGGAACTGGAACTCTCATACATTGCTAATGGGAAGGTAATCACTTTGGAAAATAGTTTGGCAATTTCTTAAAATGTTAAATGTACATCTATATATGATATAGCCTTCACCTCTTAGGTATTTATCCAAAAGGAATAAAAGCGTATGTCTATATAAAGACTTGTGCTTGAATGTTCATAGCCGTTTTATTGGTAACAGTAAAAAACTAGAAAAAACACACGTCATGAGCAGGCTAATGAATAAACAAAATAATGTATATCCATACAATGTAATACTAGTTGGCAGTAAAAAGGAATGGATTATTGATACATGCAGCAACACGGATGAATCCTTAAATAATCTCCATCACACAGATGCTGAGTGAAAAGAGACAAAGGGAGAGTTCGTACTGTATGTTTTCATTTATATAAAATTCCACACAATGCAAACTAATCAGATCTGTGGTTACCTAGGTACCGAGGGTAGAGGGGAGGAGGAGTAAGAGGGAGAGATTGCAAACGTACGTGATGAAACTTTTGGAGGTGCTTGATGTGCTCATTATGTTGATTGCAATGATGGTCTTATGAGCGTATACATATGCTAAAGTTTATCAAATTGTACACTTCAGAAAACAAATCACAAAAGGGAATATTGACTGTGTGTTACATCACGTCTCTCCTATTGTGGTATGTTAGATGATTATTCAGAAATATCCTCCACACCCATGGGAGAAGCATACTTCCCCAGTCCTGGATTTCAGACTTGGCTATATGACTGTCTTTGGCCAATGAATATTGGCAGATGTGACACAAGAAGGAGCTTGAAGTGTGGTTGTGTATTTGGATGTCCCCCCTTTTGCATCTCTCTTGCCCTGAGAGCAGCTTCTCCCGGGTTATTGTTGGTTCTTCATCTTGGGCCCCAGAATGAACACATGTGGAGCAAACTGGAGCCCAACTCACCAGAGGCCAGCTGTGCTTCAGGCAGAACCACTCAGCCAAGCACATCCTAAGTTAGCCATTCCATAGCTAACAGGCCCACGAGAAATACAACCTTCCTGTAGGAAGCTACTACGATTTTGCAGTTGTTTGTCACATAGCAACAGCTGACTAATACACCCACCAAAGACAGCCCTGTCAGAACTGAGATCTGGAGCCCGGTATACATACCTGTGAATCTGGGCTTCCCAAGAGGATCAGTTTCTCTTGTTGGGATTGAGCTAAAGTCAGTTACATTACCTGAGAATGGAAGATAATAAACAGTTTTGGCAAAAGGATAAGACAGCTGCACCATACAGTGAAAAAGTAGTGAAGACTATATATATTCAATCTGCCTCCTAGTCTGCTGCTTGCAGCTTTTGATTTCCTGTATTATTTTTATTGTACATATTGGTCCACAGTAAAAGGTCTTTAACTGCATCCTGCTGGTGTTTTGGAGGGTAAGAAATAATGAATTAAAGATTACCACTGACTGGTTAATGTTCATTGATAAATTAAGATACGTTCAGTAATTAGTAATGACATGTGACTTAGTAGTAAGTATGGGATAAGCAAGATATTTTTAGGAAGCAAACTTGAGCATTTTATTATATGTCTGCTGAAGGAATAAGCATACTCTATAACCAAGCAGTGAAAATAAATATAATTTTAAATGTAAAAAGTTTTGTATTAATCATAAAATTGAAAAAAATAGAAGATCCAGCACTGAGACTGCCCCCTACCCCACCGCCGCTTAGTTGAATCTTTTATACCATGTAGCCAAGCATCCAATGAGAACTGGCTGACATACTAACCAAATTCTTCTCCGGAGGCGGGAACTGTTGGTTGCTTTTTATCTGTCTCTGTTTTCTCTGAGGCGGCTCCAGTAGGCCCGAGTGTTGCCCTCAAGGGTGGGGAAGTTACTTGGCCTGACGAAATGATTCCTGTGATGTGAAGCCAAAGTACTCAGGTTTATAGCAGTACTGCCAAGTCTCCCATTTAGTTCTTCGCTAAATATTTATTAAGCACTTACCATGTGGCTTGGTACTATTTGTCAGGCTTGGAGAGAAAACAAGACCTGGTCCTTGGTGGAGACAGGTATGTGAACCAAGTGTATTGAAACATTGTAGATTTTGTAAAAGAAGTGGATGAGGTCACAGGGAAGGCAAAGGAAGGGAGTGATTATGTCTATGGGGAAAGATGGAGGGTGTTGAGGGGAGAAGGTAAAAATGCCTTCACAGAGGATATGTCCATAAACAGGAGACGTGAGCAGGAGGTAGGCATGAGAGCTGTTTTCCCATCACAAGCTACAGCAACAACCAAGACAGGGAAGCATCAAACAGCTTGGTGAGTTTAGGAGACCACAAAACAGTCTGAAGGCACTGGGGCAGTGAGAACTGAGAGTAGGGGGGCAGGGCAGGCAGATCATGAAGGGCCTTGCATACTGTGCTGTGGATTTGGACATTATTTTTGGCAATGAGGACCCACTGAAAGATTCTAAATAGGGAGGTAATATAATTAGATGGGAAGAGGATGATTTGTTAGTGTGTGAGGCTGGTGGCAGGGACAGAAGTCAGGAAACTAAGTTGTGTATGCAAGAAAACGATCCCGAGTGTGCAGATGGTTAACACATTTGATTGCTAACCAGAAGGCTGTAGGTTCTACTCTGATATGGCAACTGGTTTTTTGGTGTGTAGGAAAACAGGAGGCTGCAGTATGGCAGAAGTTGTGGGACTGTATGGAGGGATGAGACATGAGAGATGTCAAGGAGATGGAATGGCCTAACTTGGAGATGCCTTGAGAAAAAGGAAAAATATTCTTAAGGTAACTGCCATGATTCTGGCCTCATGGCCAGACAGGTGCTACATTCACCAGTGACTACTCTTGCAAAAACATGTATAAAAATCCATTTCTACTGGAAATAACAAATTTTGGAGAGGCTGCAGGGAGATGGGAACTCTTACGCACTGCTGGTGGGAATGCAAAATGATATAACCATTTTGGAAAACGATATGGCACTTCCTTAGAAGCTAGAAATAGAAATACCATATGATCCAGAAATACCACTCCTAGGAATATATCCTAGAGAAATAAGAGCCATTACACGAATAGACAAATGCACACCCACGTTCACTGTAGCACTGTTCACAATAGAAAAAAGATGGAAACAACCTAGATGCCCATAGACAGATAAATGGATAAACAAACTATGGTACATACACACAATGGAGTATTATGCAATGATAAAGAACAATGATGAATCTGTGAAGCATCTCATAACATGGATGAATTTGGAGGGCATTATGCTGAGTGAAATAAGTCAATCACAAAAGGACAAATATTGTATAAGACCACTACTGTAAAAACTCATGGAAAGGTTTACACACAAAAAGAAACAATCTGATGGTTATGGGGGTGGGGGCCTGGGGAACACTAAACAGTCAATAGATAAGTGGTAACTTTGGTGAAGGGTAAGACAGTACACAATACTGGGGAAGCCAGCACAACTTGTTCAAGGAAAGGTCATAGAAGCTCCACAGACATATCCAAACTCCCTGAGGGACCGAATTGCTGGGCTGAGGGTGTGAGGACCATGGTCCCACGGAACATCTAGCTCAATTGGCATAACATAGTTTATAAAGACAATGTTCTAGATTCTACCTTGATGAGTAGTGTCTGAGGTCTTGAAAGCCTGTGAGCAGCCATCTAAGATACTCCACTGGTCTCACCACTTTGGGAGCAAGGGAGAATGAAGAAAACAAGATACAAGGGAAAGATTAGTCCAAAGGACTAATGGACCACAACTACCACGGCCTCCACCAGACTGAGTCTGGTACAATTAGATGGTGCCCAGCTACCACCACTGACTGCTCTGACAGATATCACAACAGAGGGTCCTGGACAGAGCTGGAGAAAAATGTAGAACAAAATTCTAACTCACAAAAAAAGACCAGACTTAATGGCCTGAAAGAGACTGGAGAAACCCCGAGAGTATGGCCCCTGGACACCCTTTTAGCTCAGTAATGAAGTCACCCCCGAGTTTCACCCTTCAGCCAAAGATTAGACAAGCCCATAAAACAAAACAAGAATAATGGGACACAAAAGCCCAGGATAAGGACTAGAAGGCAGGAGGGGACTGGAAAGCTGGTAATAGGGAACCCAAGGTCAAGAAAGGAGAGTGTTGACATGTCGTGGGGTTGTTAACCAATGTCATAAAACAATATGTGTACTAACTGTTTAATGAGAAACTATTTGTTCTATAAGCCTTCATCTAAAGTACAATAAAAAAATAAAAAAAAAACCCACTGCTATTTAGATTCCAACTCATAGCAACATTACAGAACTTCCCCATAGGGTTTCCAAGACTGTAAATCTTTACAGATGCAAATGGCCACATCTTTTTCCCATGGAGCATCTGGTGGGCTTGAACCACTGTTGGTTAGCAGCCAAGCACTTAACCACTGAGCAACCAGGGCTCCTATAAAAACATATATAGGCCTCCAAAATTCAATCCATCTCAAGATCCAGGCAGGTCTGGGTATTGAGAGTAGAGTGGAGGGCTAGATTGGATTTTATGTTCCTCTTGGAAAAAGGAGTCATTCTCAAGCAATAGAAAGCCAAAGGATAAAAGACTGACCCAAGGACCATGGCCAGCATGGAATCCCAGACAAGTCACTGGGATGGGCCTCTGGTTCACGCCCTGAGGATTCATGCTCCTGGTCCCAGTAGGAGTGGGCCACAATAACAGGGCAAGTGAAAATCAAGAGAAGTTGCATTGCAGTCTGCATAAGCTTTTGGAGCTTTCAGAGTCAGCAGGAAATGCTGGTGTAGTACTTTCTCCCTGGGTAAGGACTGAAGGACTCAGGGGCCTCAGTACACCGGAGAAAGGAAAAAAGTGGAAGATGCCCCATGGTTGCCTAAGGCTGTGTTCGTTCATGGGCACGTGCAAGAGAACCTCGGAGGATTCCCAGAACACTTAGTTGATTTCTTGAATTCAGGATGTGCTTTCTGCAGTGTTAATCAGACCAAATCTGTACAACTGCTTCTGTTTGTTTGGACCTTCTGTACAGCCATTTCTTTGAGTTAGAGGTAGATAGCAAGAATGTGGGGGCCCAGAGTTAATCTCAGAAACAGAATGTGGTTTATGGTCTTCTCAAAGCTGGGTGGGCTGTACCAAAATGACACTGATGGGAGAGAACAGGAGTTTTACATGACAAGAACCAAGGCCATCAAGCTGTAGCTGAAGACGCAGCCTTACAGGGGAACTCTGTAGTGGAAGTCCCCTGAGTTTCCCATGGAGGACACTCCAGGCATCACTTTCAGTCTGGGACTCATCCTGACCTGAAGACTATTGGAGCTCAAGTCACAGCTGCTGCAGGTTAAAATTAATGAGGAAAACCTGTTCCCTTGTAGGGGACAATCAGAAGGTTGAAAGTTCAGGTCTACCCAGAGGTGCCTCAGAAGAAAGGCCTGGTGATCTATTTCTGAAAAATCAGCCACTGAAAACCCCATGGAGCAAGCACAGTTCTACTCCGACACACACAACGTTGCCATGACTGGGGAAGGCACCAGCAGCATGGATGAGGGAGTGATTCCTCTTTCAGCTGATGGGAAAAACAACCTAGAGTTCACTATGCACATGACAGATCATAAAAGCTTCTCTGTCTTCATACCCTCTTTTCTACCCCGTGAAAAAAATTACGTACCCTTTCACATAAACCTCCATCAGCAGCTTACTTTTATCCTGATTCCACTACAAAATATTTAGGAAGAAGAGGTGGGGGAAGAGGGAGGAAAGATAGGGAACATGCTGAGATTTTTCTGGCAGATCCTGGTGGAAGGGCTCTTAATAGAAGCTTTGCTCTGGACTGGGTTCATTCTCACTGATTCTTAATTTCATTCACTTATTCACTCAGTTATTACTTATCAAATATCCACTGTTCGCTAGACATGGAGTTCCTGGGTGCTGCAAATGGTCAATCACTCAACTACTAACTGAAAAGTTGGCAGTTCAAATCCACCCAGAGGTGCCTTGGAAGACAAGCCTGGCAATCTGCTTCTGAAAGATCACAGCCTTGAAAACCCTATGAAGCAGTTCTACTCTGCACACATCGGGTCACCATGAGTAAGAATAAACTTTGTGGCAGCTATTTTTTTTTTTTTTTTCTTAAAGGCACTAAGCACTAGATTTGGTTCTGGGAATTCAGAGAAAATATACCAACGACTCTGTCATCACAGAGCTTACAGCCTAGTAGGGGGCAACAAGTATGCAAAAAAAATTGTTATTTGCTCTAATGGAGGTATGTATCAGGGAAAAGGAGAACAGAGAAGAAATGCCAAGATGACTTGGGGGAGCTAGAGAAGGCTTCTTCAAGAAAGGGATAAAGTATAAGTATCCCAGGTGACTGGGAGGGGTCATTCCATGAGGAGGGGACATGGACGTGAGAGAAGCTTGACTTCTAATACCTGCCTACTCCTGCCTTGTTGCACAGGCTAGACCCGCTCGGTCACCCTGAATATTCCAGTGCCAGTCTTCCCCCGAACACCATAATGCAGGCTAGCATGAAGGCTGGTGGACGGGTGTTTTCCGTGAGATGTGTCAGATTTCATTTCAGGAGACAGAATGATAAACTGATGACAGGGAATCACATTTTCCATCACCCCCAGTGGCTGGCAACACACAGCATCCAAAATAATCTGCTTGTTGTTGAAGGGCATGAGTAAGCTTCCTGTCTAGGCTCCAAGAACACAAACATCTAAGAAGAAGACTGGCTCAGATGTAGAGGGAGGGCTTCTTTTACCCCACCCACCCAGAGTCAGGATAAGAGTCCTCAAAGCTGTAATTTACCGGGTCCGGTCCTCAGGAACAACACAGTACATGACCCACACACCTCTGACTTGTCCGTTGACTAAGCTATCATACCAACAAGGGCTTGTGGTTGGCTAGTAAAACCGACATCCTGGAGGGAGAAGGAAGGTATAGATGGACGTACCTGCACTTCCTGGCTTTCCGGTGACATTATTTCGTGGTAAAGGTTTTCTTTGTAGTGGTGTAGGTCTAGGTGGCAAGGGTCGGCGGCGAGTGCCTGGGATTATGGCTAAGAGATTATATTATAGATACAGCTGTCATGAGGATTCACTATTCAAAACCACAGATTTATAAAAAGAACTTTTGTCAGCACATTGATATATGGAAAACATATCCTCTAATTATAGATTAAAAATATATAGGTATATATATTTTTAATCTATAATTATATATTTTAGGATACATTTTAAATCTGCCATTTGAAAGACTGTATAGAAATTAACATTTTAAGTTTCCTATGTAGACATAACAGTAGCATTTTTAAGCTCCGTTATCCCCAATAGCCTTGATTTTGAGACTGTAATTTCTTAAACCATTTTATCTTTATGTTTTTATATATACCACATCTCCTTTTCTGAGTGCTCTGCCCCATCCTCCAACTCTGATGTACTTATAATTAGACCAATGCCTTCATAACTTCTCAAGTAATGGCACCAAAGGAGCCCTGATGGCAGAAGTGAGAAGCCGGTGTGCCTGGAGAGCAGGGTCACTGGGAAGGGTTGTGGTGTCGTGTGCTGCACAAGGGCGCCTGGCTAAGGGCAGGGGAAGTGCAAGCGGGACTGAAGTTTAGCACCCACTCTCCTAACCCACCCATGAGCCCTGGTACAGGCTGCCAGCCCAGAGGAAGGGCACGTTTATCCAACGGGAGGCACTTTGCACAATGCTGGTGAGACTAAGGGTGCCTGGAGCATTACATCTTAATTCCAAATTTCCTTGAAGTCTTGAGTTTAAAAATTCATTTCTTTCTTTCTATAGTAATACATGTTGGTTTTAAAATCTCTGAGTAAAACTGGCAATCCAGGAAAATGTCCTGTGGCTTTATGTACTTCTTGGGTTTCTCCAGTGTGTGTGGTGTAGTGTATGTGTGTGTGTGTGTGTGTGTGTGGTTGGGGGGAGGGTAGAGTGCTGGCGGTGACAGAATATAGTCTGTAGCCCAGATATAAAGACAGCAGGTGGGTCTTATAGTATCCCTTTAAAAAACAGAGTCGTTATTCAATGCAAAGATATTCACCAGCTTCACAATTTCGTCCTATTACACAGGGCACCTTCTCAAATCAGGAACATAAATCATATCAGGCAAAGGGATATTGCGATAAATTTCACAAGAGCAAAACTTTAACATGATGAAAACTAGAACTCACAATGACTCTTAAACAGTTGTTCATCGTGGCCACTCAGAACACTACAGAGAATAATTTTTAAATTGGTACCCGTTAGAGGTTCTTATTTAATTGTTCCATAGAGCACTTCTCATTCCTCCCTAAAGATGATGTTTTGGAGTTTTTCTCTAGCAGTACCATATACTCTTAGCACAATTCTGACAACTTTGGGGGCCATGGGGATGTTGCTGTTTTTGCTGCAACAAATGATACTGCAGTTAAAGTCCCAGTTTCAGAGCTGAGCTGCTGTCAGGGAGCTGGCATCTGATTCCTCACCTGGTTTTTTGGTGGAGCGGGCTGAGTCCACTGACACATTTCTACCAACACCAATGTCTCCAGGGACGGCCTCCTTGGACCCTATGAACAGAAATAATGGAAGGGAATAAATATACAGCAAAAACTTGCTAAACTTTGATGGTGGGTCAGGTTGTCAGTGATAACGTGCATCCTTTGCAGAGCAGAAGCATTCTGTTTTTGTGCATAGACATTTTAATCGGCTTCTACCATCTGGATATATAAAAAATTCAAAACCTTACGTTCAGTGGCTTTGTATTTTCTCTGAAGAATTAGCATTTGAATGTGGACTGTGGCTTTGTCTCGATTTTCCATGATGCCCCCGCCCTGTGCTGCTTTCCGGAGTGGCACTGCCTCACCAGGCGGGTGACTGGCCACCTTTAGCCAATGTTCACGGGTGTATTTTGTGGTTAAAACCAATTCCCTCCTGTCCCCCCTATAAAAATCCTTAGAATTCCAACGTGTTTGGCTTTATACTTCATGAGCTGACTTTCAAAATATTCCCAGAGAGGCCTGGGCTATCAGGCTGGTGAGGTCACAAAGTAATCTCTTACCTTTGGGATTTATAAATTAGAACTGGGCAGGCCTAAGAACATCAAGTTGTTGTTGTGAAGATCTGATCTGAAAATTACTTTGTATGATATTTTGGTGGTTATTACTCAACCATTCCCCTAAATGCCCATGCTTGAATTTTGGGTAGTTACTGTTGGGCAGTGGGAACCAATTTAGGTTGTCCTGTTTTATTTATTATTATTCTTTTATATTATAATCTTCCCTAATGTGTCTGACAAGGAGCCCCGGTGGTGCAGTGATTAAGCAATCAGCTGCTAACCAAAAGGTCAACAGTTTGAACCCACTAGCCGCTCCACAGGAGAAAAGATATGGCAGTCTGCTTCCGTAAAGATTACAGCCTTGGAAACTCTGCGGGGCAGTTCTACTCTGTCCTATAGGGTTGCTATGAGTTGGAATCAACTTGAAGGCAATGGGTAATGTGGCTGACATTCTTCATTAAGAACCAATGAAAACAGACAATTTTAGAATCTAAATAGTAAATATCACTTTAGATATAACAAAACCAGTTGCTGTCAAGTTGATTGTGACTTACGGAGACCCCATGTGTGTCAGAGTAGAACTGTGCTCCATAGGGTTGTCAATTTTTAGGGTTGCTGATTTTTAGGAAGTAGATTGCCAGGCCTTTCTTCCTAGCTTCCTCTGGATGGACTTGAACCTCCAACCTTTAGGTTAGCAGCTGAGCATGTTAACTGTTTTTACCACTCAGGGACAACTTTAGATAGAATAACTCAACCTAAAAAAGAGTCCATGCTCTGAGGACCTGACTCTAATTTATATATTTAAAAATAAGAATGAAACTTTTATTTAGTAACTAGTATACTAGTTATTACAATAACAGCAACAACCACGATGACAAGAAAACCACCACCACCACCTGTTTTGAGCACTCACTGTGTTCCAGGGACTGTGTAGGGGCATTACACACTCAACTTCATTTCACATGTGCGCAGATATATTGATTAAATACAACAGAAGATTTTCTTGCCACAAATTGGATGATATTTCCATATAAATTGATGAAATTCAAGAATGAACCTAGTATTGCAACCCTAAACTCCCTGATAAGAGATAATATATAAAATCATGGGGAATGTTTATACGGAGCCATGAATTAAATGTTGCTTATTTATGATAGAAAAAGTATATTTCCAGGGACAATAACTATTTTGTGGCTAAGCCCACAGGCATGGCAAAGGGAAATGGCTTACTAGTCTTTTCCCTGTGCCCTACTGTCAGTAGTTATAGGGCCATGGAAGTGGCCCATCATAGTGGTTACTCCATGAATGCCTCACCAAAAAACAAAAACCAAACCTGCTGCTGTTGAGTTGATTCTGACGCATAGTGACCCTACAGGACAGAATAGAGCTGCTCCATAGGGTTTCCAAAGAGTGGCTGGTGGATTTAAACTACCGACCTTCTGGTTAACAGCTGAGCTCTTAACCAATGTGCCATCAGGACTCCATGAATGCCTTAAGGAAAAGGAATTACTTCTATTTGTGTCATTGGGATAAGCTGGCGTGGTGAGATTTGATTTACTGCTATTTTTGTTTTGAGGGTAAAAAAATTTATCCCGTACTCTAGAAGGCTAGTAAGTTGTGTGTACCTTCAGTAGATCCTTCTTTCTAACCTTTCTCCAAATCTCCCTGCCCTTAAAAAACACAGTATTTTGTGCCAATACTGTGCAAGTACCTTACACGTTCAATACCTGATTTGTTCCTTACAACTCTTCTGTGTGGGAGACTTCGTTGATGGCTTACACATGAGGAAACCAAGGCAAGGAGAGATCGAGCAACTCACCCAGGGTCTCACGGTTAGGAAGTGTTGGGATTCAGATTCACATATGCCCGGGTCCAAAGCCTGTTTCTTTTCTTTTTTGTACTTTTTTAAATTGTGCTTTAAGTGAAAATTTACAGCTCAAGTTAGTTTCTCATACAAAAATTTATATACACATTGTTATGTGACACTAGCTGCTAATCCCTATAATGTGACAGCATACTCCTCCTTTCCATCCTGGATTTCCTGTGTCTACTCAGCCAGCTCCTATGCCTTTCTGCCTTCTCATCTCGCCTCTGGACAGGAGCTGCCCATTTAGTCTCGTGTATTTACTTGACTAAGAAGCACACTCTTCACGAGTATCATTTTATGTTTTATAGTCCAGTCTAATCTTTGTCTGAAGAGGTGGCTTCGGGAATGGTTTTAGTTCTGGGCTAACAGAGAGTCTGCGGGCCGTGTCTTCCGTGGATCTTCCAGTCTCATTCAGACCATTAAGTCTGGTCTTTTTACTGGAATTTGAGTTCTGCATTGCACTTTTCTCCTATTTAGTCAGGGACTCTCTGTTGTGTTCCCGGTCAGGGCAGTCATTGGTGGTATCCGGGTGTCATGGTTTGAATTATGTCCCCCCAAAAATGTGCGTGACAATTTGGCTAGGCCGTGATTCCCAGAATTGTGTGGTTGTCCTCCATTTCGTGATAGTAATTTTATGTTAAAGAGGATTAGAATGGAATTGTAACACCACCCTTACTCAGGTCACATCCCTGATCCAACGTAAAGGGAGTTTCCCTGGGGTGTGGCCTGCATCACCTTTTATCTCTTGTAAGAGATAAAAGGAAAGGGAAGGAAGCAGAGAATTGGGGACCTCATACCATCAAGAAAGCAGTGCTGGGAGCAGAGCGCGTCCTTTGGACCGGGGTCCCTGCGCAGAGAGGCTCCTAGTCCTGGGTAACATTCATGACAGAGAAAGCCTTTCCCTGGAGCCGATGCCCTGAATTTGGACTTTTAGCCTACTTGATTGTGAAGAATAAATTTCTCTTTGTTAAAGCCATCCACTTGTGGTATTTCTGTTATAGCAGCACTAGATGACTAAGACAGAATTTGGTACCGAGTGAGTGGGGTGCTGCTCTAACAGATACCTAAAACGTGGAAGCGGTTTTAAAACTGTGAATGGATAGACCGTGCAGCAGTGACAGAGGACCAGCAGCAGCAGAACCAGGAGGCCAGTGCGAGATGGCACTGGAGCTGACCCACGGAGCGAGAGAGCTGAGTGCCTGTTCGCGGGAGGCTTCCTGGCAGAGTGGGGTGCCTCCGGGCACTTATCCGTGGAGCTACAAAGCTTTAGAACACATGCCCCAGCAGGGCAGATGCGGGCATGAGGCCCGAAGGCCAAAAGGCCACGGGAAACAGAAGCAGAAGCTGAAGAGACAAGGGACACAAGAAGCCTAGCTGCCTTAGTCTCAAAAGGTATGGCCATGACCTCAGGGGTTTCAAAGGGTGGAGCCATGGCCTCTGGTGTTTCTAAGGGTGGAGTTGTCACTCGGATGAAGTAGAATGGTGTGCCTAAAGCCAAGCGAGCAGAGTTGCTGTCCCAGTGGGCCTGGAAGGCGGAGCTGAAACCCAGTGCAGAGGGACCTCCACTCAAAATCTGGAGAGTGTGGCCAATACCTAGAGTCTGGAGGGCAGGGCCATTGTGTAAATTGTCTCAGAGAACAGAAGATTATTTTCAAAGCCTTGAGGGCTAATGTAATGTGTTCTGCTGACTTGCTTGGTGCCTGTTATCACTTCTTTTCCTCTAGTTTCTCCCATTTGTAATGGAAACGTCTAGCTTGTGCCTGTTCTGCCATTGTACCTTTGGAAGCAAATAACTTGTATTCTAGATTTCACAGATGAAGAGGAATTTTTGGATTTTGGACTTGGAGTTAAGACTTTTGCTATGATATGATGAGGTGAATATGTTTTGCCTGTTGCAAGGATGTGATTTTTTGGGGGCCAAAGGATGAAATGTCATGGTTTGAATTATGTCCCCCCAAAAATGTGTGTAACAATTTGGCTAGGCCATGATTCTGGGAATTGTGTGGTTGTCCTCCATTTTGTGATTGTAATTTTATGTTAAAGAGGATTAGAGTGGAATTGTAACACCACCCTTTCTCAGGTCACATCCCCGATCCAATGTAAAGGGAGTTTCCCCGGGGTGTGGCCTGCACCACCTTTTATCTCTTGTAAGAGATAAAAGGAAAGGGAAGCAAGCAGAGAGTTGGGGACCTCATACCATCAGGAAAGCAGTGCTGGGAGCAGAGCGCGTCCTTTGGACCCAGGGTCCCTGCGTGGAGAGGCTCCTAGTCCTGGGTAACATTCATGAAAGAGAAAGCCTTTCCTTGGAGCTGATGCCCTGAATTTGGACTTTCAGCCTACTTGATTGTGAAGAAATAAATTTCTCTTTGTTAAAGCCATCCACTTGTGGTATTTCTGTTATAGCAGCACTAGATGACTAAGACACCAGGCACCATCTAGTTCTTCTGGTCTCAGGCTGATGGATTCTCTGGTTTATGTGGCCTGTTTTGTCTCTTGGGCTAATATTTTCCTTGTGTCTTTGGTGTTCTTCATTCTCCTTTGCTCCAGGTGGGTTGGGACCAACTGGTGCATCTTAGATGGCTGCTCACTAGCAAAGGCTGTCTCTTAAGCACCAAGTGGCATAGCACATAGCACAGTCTTCCTTC